GGGGGGGGGCGGTGTTGGTTTGCTTACCTTACCAGCTTCTCTTCCTTCTGTGATTTCCTCTTTTTTTACCCAAAATAAGGGGTGAGGCGGGGCGGGCCCTGTCCGTAGATCCGCCACGGAAACACCGCAGGGCGAAAAACAGTTAACATTTCTTGCACTGGAGAAAAAAACTTAAAGCAAATGGCTCTTAGTGGAGCGAAGAGGGCACTGAAAATGATCTTACTGAAGAGAAGTTTCCCAGTACTAATTCACATCTTTTCCAGATCATCAGCGAAAAAGAACAGACTTCGTAATGCAAGAAGCTTGCCAGCGATCAAAGTGCAATTTCGGAAATTCTCAAGTCCCTGATTGATTTCAGTTTGATGAGCAACAGGCATCTTGGAAGTGAAACATGCGTCTTCAGGGAAACATAATATATGTAATTTTAACATGAACAGAACAAGATTCTAATACACGGTGAACATTTTTTACTTACACGGCGGTTTTGAAATCTCTATATAGTAAAAACAGAAGTCCCGAATTTTTTTTTACAATTCCTACGTTTCTTGTCCATTAGATTAGGGAGCTAAAGCAACGACGACGGCGACGTCAAGGACAACGTCAAATCAAAAATAAATTTATATTTTACCAGCGAAATTCACAATTGTCTATATCTGTTCAATACGCCAATGGTTCTAGAAATGTACTCAGGCTAAAAATGCAATGACACCGTTCAATAGACCATTTTCGCTTGGGCGGTTTGTTTTCCATTACAGACTACGTGATATTCTCTAGAGAGTTGTTCTTTTATCCATCTAAAAATTATTTAATTATATCCACGTGACTATTTGAAAATTTGAAAGGAAGAATTCTCAAGAGTATCATCACATGGTCTGAAATGGAGCAACAAACCTCCCAGTCAGAAAAGGTCTATTCCAAATGGAACTACGAAAAATTAGCCGTCGTTGTTCGTATTGTATTTCGTATGGTACGGGTCGTCGTTCGTTCGTATTTGTATTGTATTATATTGTTGTTGCGGGGGACGGAAAAGAAACGTACAAAGGTTTATAAGCCACATGCACAGCTATTGTTTTTCTCATTAAACCTTTTGTTTGGTGACGTTCTCGTTGCCGTGGTCGCCGTTGAGCTTCCTATTGTCACTTGAGCCACGCCCATCGAGTTGACCGAGCGCGTGGAGATTGGTGTCTATTTAAGCACGTGAAGAATGCCTTCACTTCCTAACAGAAATACGAAAATTGATGCTCTCGAAAATACTTAGAAACTGGTCATTTCTCTGTGTCTCAGTTTCCAGAAGGGGGCAAGAAATTTCTAGATATGCATAATCGAAGTAAGTATTCTTCTCGTTGGTCGTCGTAACTTGCGTAAGGTACACCTTTCACCTAAGGCTGCATGAGAAGAAGTTTTGACAGCAATATTTGTCATTGCCGAAGTGACGTGACGGGCATACTTATGTTCTTCATCCACGACATCAAGGTAACATGGGAACATATGTAAGGCAAGCGATCTCTCGGTGGACTTGTTCAGTTATCTTGATGTTGTGTTGCGCTGTTCGTTTGAGTGACTACTTTTCCTTGACGACGACGTACCTGAAAAAAGTAAAAACGGTGAGACTCTTCCAACCCTGGCTTCCACAAGATCAATACCATGGCGAAAAAATTATTATGTTCAGTGATCGTTGCGATCAAATGGCAACCACTACGCAACAATAGTTTCCAGTAAAGAAAAAAATTAGAAATCATAATTAACTGCTGAAGATAACCAAGGAACTTCCTTCCATAGTTAGCTCCACGAGGGAATCTGGGGACTGAAGAAGATTTCGGAGGTCGTGGAGTTCCAATCCAACTGGGGTGGAAAGCACTTTCCTTTGCCTTGTGCGGTCAACAGTATCCGTTCCTAGGGCTAACACTCAGAAGGAAATGAGACAATTCTTTGATGTCCAGCTTATCTAATACTTGTGCTACGTGTCTCGACATTTCAGTGAAAATGAAGCTTCTATACTCTACTGTGACTGCCAGGATCAATTCTCAAGACGACAGAAAACTGGTTCTTTTAAAAGAAGAAACTACAGGTTATGACGGCTTTTACGATATGAGAATACGATCGCCACCACTTCAACTGTTGTCAGCGATTTCTTCGATTACAAACAGGCGACAAGTTGTAAATAATTGTCAGATGAGGTTATTTGGTGATATGGACGAGGACTTGACACTTTCATTTAATATTTAGGGCATCACGAAAAACTCATTAAATAGAAGTTTTATTACATCCATTTTGAAATCACTTGTGATCCTCACAATCTGATTGGCTCTCAAGAGTGCGATTTATTCTCGAATCGCACTATTTTTGTGCTCTAAATAGCTCTAAATCGCATCTTTTTCCCAGCCAATGAGAGTGGAACACTAAAAAAACAACCTATCAGATTTCAAGGCTAGAAATCAATTACAGGAAAGCCAGAGCAATTTATTCACGAATCACGCTATTTTGTGTCGTAAATTGCATCTTTTTGTGTTTTGCATACAAAATGAGAGGTAAAAGCGTTTCTGGTTCTGCTTTTAACAAACCGGCTACTGGATCAATAAAATATTGGTACTGACCGAGGCGATTAAAAATGGTTGTAATAACGTGGCAATTGAACTTCGTGTCATGCAATTTGTCGCGCTGCGCGCTCGTTCAATTTTGAAATCACGCGTATGATTTGAGACCAAATTGCACCCCAGTCAGTTCAATTACCATTAAGGTGGCCGAACACAGTTTTCAAGAACTATTTATGCTTTGGCGCCCGTTTTTTGCAAGAGTCAAGGTTAACCACAGAAGGGTTTATTCT